TGGATGGACATATACAAATATTTATTCTAAAACAAAAGAACTTGAAGTACGGGAAAAAAATGTTTGACAGTTTAATATTAAAAACGTGATGTTTAAACAAAAAATATGCAAAAAATATATGATTTTCTTGAATATTTTTATTTCTAAGGAATTTGATGAAATATAAGATTTACAATGTACTTGGTTATAAAACAAACAAACACCAATATGCAAATTACAGTCTACGTGAATACAAAATTAAGTCATATAGAAAAAACACACCAAAAACCAAAAACCACTATATTAAAACAATGGAAGATTCTTATGTTTCTGTCATGAAAAATAACGTAGTTTTTGTCAGAAATAACAATGTTTTATTACAATCAACATCTTAACATATCGGAAGTTTACAACCTGCTTTCATTAATTATAACAAAAATACACAATTAGTTTCCAGAAAGTGATCACGGTGATGATGGAACCCATTATTAACCAAGTAATGCTGGTAACTGAGGAGATAAATCACCCAGGCAACTAATCAGATGGTGGCTATTTGTACGATTAATCATATAAGTAGACTTTTTTATCACCCGAGTACAACATACACCAAATATATCTTCTTCTATATATGTCCCCCCTATGAGTCAGTAGTAAGTTTACAGACTTACTACTCTAAAATCCGGGGTTAGATCCCTCGGTGGACAGAGCTCGGATAGCTGGTTTCTTAGTTTTGCGTTAACATAAAAAAGAACAGAAATATTCTATAAATTATAAATCTACCTCCCTCTGAAAACACACTGACATATATTAAGTCAATATCCTTTTATATTCTCACTTTCAAAGTACACACATCCTCTGAAATCAATTATAAGCGAAAACTGCACTCAGAGAGTTCCAGATCTAGACAATTGTATTCATTAACAAAACAAATTACATTCATTTCTTTGGTTACAAAAAAATTGACAAGAAGTGTAGTTGCTTCGAAATAAATGGACGGACAATCGCGTTGATAAACAACGGCAACACTCTTTGATAAAACAACAGCAACACTCCTCTGGTTTTGTTACTTTCAAGAAGTGTAGTAGGTTTCACGGCAGTGTTATATAAGGCACGAGGAGTATATAAACATGAAACGTAACCATAACTTCACGTTGTGTCCGAAAAATAGGTGTAAAATGTTATATATATATATATAGTTTATCTTATACATAAAATATATTAGTGATGTTTGATCGCTAGCTTGTCTTACAAATACATGAATGAAAAAAAAATTATATTACTATTTGAAGACAAGTAATCAAAAATATTCGCAGACACAATTCTTACACTGACAAATTTACTCTTTCTTTCATGTACAGCTAATAACTGGCTGGTAATCAGAAGGTTCGAGACGTAATACGCGCTTTTAGTTGTGTAGGCACTGTAACTGTGATAGACAATCCTGCTATTCGGTTAAAAGAGTCGAACAAAGTTGTTATGGCGGCGGGTACTCTATCTAGTCGCCTTCTCTATGCTAGTAGCTCAAAATTGAGATCGACTATACCTGAAACCTAGGGTTTCTCTAACCTGACCGTTTAAGCCCATGGATGGACGCACATAATATACCGTTCAGCTTGAAAATTTCAACTCGTCTAATCATTACACAATACATAAAATAGAACAAAATATACAATTATGGGAAGAAAACAGAGTTTTCCGGAAAAACGTTAGCTTTTTTTTTTTTTTAGAAATAAAATCATCGCTCAGCTAATTTACGTCACCTCTTTAAAATATTAAATTTTATAGTTTGGCTGACTTAACGACCGGATTTAAGATATCTATCAGTATCATTCCTGAGAAAATTTGTAGGATATAAGTGTAAAGTAACTTCTTAAACCATTGTTTATCCCACCTGTTTTTTTCGTACGCAACTAGATGAAGAAAAATAATGAAAAATATTTCATGTTTAAAATGATCATCATCACCACATCTGTAAATATACCTTACTCAACTATGGGTCTGCTTGTTTCTACAACATTCAAATAACTTTTCGTATCATCGTTAAATATATATGCACACTTTAATTCGATTGTGTTATCCATTCATAATAATCTTGGATTTGATCATGGTCCGAAGAACATTTCTGCTTTCTCTAAACCTGTATTTTTCTCTTGTTGTCGCTCTGTTGCTTCTTCTCACATTTGCTCAGTGTCTCTCTGTTTTTATCTTTCACTTCTAATTATATTTTCAGTTTAACTTCCTATCCTTGTAGTATTTGTTTTTGATTGTTTGTGTGTGTGTGTATCTACTCTATTACTGTATTTCTCAGACTCTTTCGTCCGTAGACCACTTTGGAGCCCACCAGTGGCACAGTGGTATGTATGTCTGCAGATTTAAATGTTAGAAACCGGGTTTCGATATCCGTGGTGGGCAGAGCACAGATATCCCTTTGTGTAGTGTTGTGCTTAATAACAAAAAACAAACAAACCACTTTGGAGGGGCAAAAGACCCCCGCAACAACTACTGGTCCTACCTCACCTGTTCTGTTCTCTCTTATATGGCCTTGCCGTGGCGTTGCGCGTCAATGACTTGCATTTTAGACCAGCGCCGAACCACCTTAAGGCCCCTCACGGACCACACTTTGAGAACCACTGCTCCATTATCGATCTTCTGTTATATATATGTGGTTTATCGGTTTTTGTTCAAAAAATAATTTCAACTAGTTTTAATAACAATTTCAATCACTTATAAGCATGGTTAATAGCGCTCATAAAACCAGTGTCTTTCGTCATCCTATTAACCTTTTGCTGAATGTAGTTTCAGTGCTACAAGTTTTTCTTTGTCATCACTATCAATGTCATGAAACTGTACGCACAGCCTGACGAATGTCACGGACACCACATGCTAGTTGTCAAGGGAACAACTAGATGTCTGGAAAACTCGTGGAAGATACTTTGTTCACATGGCAACGCAAGAGCTTTGTTTTAGCATAGCCTTAAAGAATGTACTTTATTCTGCGCAGCTGAACTTAACCTAACTGGAAAATTGGTGATTACAGTAACATACAGGAAAACATATATCAAGTTACTCCATAGTCTACTTTTTCATGAGCGATATTTGATTGAAGTTATTGCTTGTGAACTCTCTGACACACAAGTATCGTATATATATATATATATATATATATATAAACGTAGTTTAGTATTATTTTCTAC